AAAGGATAACGTTCTAGCTTCAACCTCTGGAACACCACTCTCACCCGGGCACCAAGGCTCAGTCCAGCATGGGAAGAAGAGCTTTCAGGTGAACTCCGCCAGCAACCCTGCTGGCCACTTCCCAGTTTTGCCCCTGTAGGCCCTGTGTAAACTGTCTCCATTAAGCCCTAGATAAGGGTCCTCCTCCCCATCTCTGGCCAAAGCCAGACTTTGTGTTAGGATCTGGCATAGAAGCAAGTTTTCCTCCCTATCTCAGCCCTTACCCATAGCAAGATTCCCATCCCATACATTTAATTCTCAGCCAAATATCGAAATAAACCATCCCCATTTTATAGATCAGGAAACAGGCTTACAGTTTAAGTGACTTAGTTTTTTTGTTTTTGTTTTTTTTTTTTTAAAGATTTTATTTATTTATTTGCCAGAGACAGAGGGAGAGAGAGTGAGCAAGCACAGGCAGACAGAGAGGCAGGCAGAGGCAGAGGGAGAAGCAGGCTCCCCGCCAAGCAAGGAGCCCGATGTGGGACTCGATCCCAGGACGCTGGGATCATGACCTGAGCCGAAGGCAGCCGCTTAACCAACTGAGCCACCCAGGCTTCCCTAAGTGACTTAGTTTTGATCACTCACCTAAGAAGCAGCCGGCCTGCTTTCCTTTCTTCCTTGCATGGTTCAGGGCATATTTTAGAGCTGGAGAGGGATGGTGTGTGTGCACACTCATGTGCATGTGGTAGCGGTGTGCACACACCCATGCGTGCACGTGCTGGGGCTCAGGGCAGGGGGTGTCAAACATGCTTCCCTACGGTGTCTCCCTACACACACACATCTTGGCGGCAGAAACCATTCTTCCACCTGCAGAGCTCCCCAGAGGCGCCCAGACCAAAGCAAGCAGCCACTCCACCTGCGTTCCACTCGGCCCCCACGAGGCTGTGGGATCAGTCGGGCACCAGAGCTGTGCTGAGTGTCCTTATGCTCTTGGACACGTTTCTAAATAATCTATGAATCAAAGAAGTCACAAGGGAAAACTAGAAAATGTTTCAAATTGAAAGATAATGAAATACACTATATTAAAACTAATGGGATGCAGCTAAAGTAATGCATATATGTAAGTGCCTATGTTAGGAAAGAAGAAGGGCTGAAAATGCATTATGCAAACTTATGTAAGTGGTGGAACGGTGCTGGAGTAAGTAAGTGACTGTCTGTTTTACCTGTACCTTGAAGCCTTCACAAGAATTAATTTGAAATGGAACATCGGCAGAACTGTGAAGGCAAAACAGTGAAACTTCTAGAGAAACATGGAATATCTTTATAGCCTTGGACTGGGCAAAGATTTCTTCTTTTTTTTTAAGATTTTATTTACTTATTTGACAGACAAGTAGGCAGAGAGGCAGACAGAGACAGAGAGAGGAGGAAGCAGGCTCCCTGCTGAGCAGAGAGCCCGATGCGGGGCTTGATCCCAGGACCCTGGGACCACGACCTGAGCCGAAGGCAGAGGCTTTAACCCACTGAGCCACACAGGCGCCCCAAAGATTTCTATTTTTTAATGATTTTATTTATTTGTCTGACAGCATAAGCAGGGGGAGCAGCAGAGGGAGAGGGAGAAGCAGGCTGCCCTCTGTGGGGCTCGTTCCCAGGACCCTGGGACCTGGGATCGTTGAGCCGAAGGCAGACGCTTAATGACTGAGCCACCCAGGCACCCCTAGGCAAAGATTTCTTAAGCAAAAGACAGAAAGGGGGCCTCTGGCTGGCTCAGTCAGTGAAATGTGCAACTCTTGCTCTCAGGGTCATGAGTTCAAGCCCCGCAGTGGGTGTGGACCTTACTTCAGAAAAAATAAAATAAAATAAAATATTTAAAAACTAAACCAAAAAACTTGACTCAGAAAGCTCTAAGCATCAATGGTTGATAACTTAGACTTCATGAAAATTAAGAACTTCTGGTCAATAATTAAAGATATTTAAGAAAATGAAAAGATAAGGTACAAACTAGAAAAAAGATGTTTCAATACAGTTATTTTAAAAAAGACTCCTGTAGAGTATATAAAGAATTCTGTAGTTATCACAGAAAAAGGACTACAACAGTTCCTTCATAAGAGAGGATTTCCAAATGGCCAACAAGCATGTGGAAAGGTGCTCAATATCACTAAAGAAGTTTAATTCATACAGAAATGTGAATTAAAACAACAAGGGGTGCCTGGTTGACTCAGTTGGTAGAACATCCAACTCTTGATCTTGAGGTTGTGAGTTTGAGCCCCTCTTTGGGTGTACAGATTACTTTAAAAATAAATACATAAAAGTAAATAAAGAGGTGCCTTATTTGGGTGGCTCAGCTGGTTAAACATCTCCATTTATTTATTTGACAGAGAGACACAGTGAGAGGGAGAACGTAAGCAGGGGGAGGGGAAGAGGGAGAAGCAGGCTTCCCACTGAGCAGGGAGCCTGATGTGGGGCTCGATCCCAGAACCCTGGAATCATGACCTAAGCCAGAGGCAGATGCTTAACAGCTGAGCCACCCAGGGGCCCCTAAGCATTTGACTCTTGATTTCGGCTCAGGTCTTGATCTCAGGGTGGTGAAATCAAGCCACAGGTCGGACTCCACGCTCAGCACGGAGTCTGCTTGAGATTCTCCTTCTCCCTCTGCCTCTCCCTCCACTCGTGTGCGCTCGCGCAATCTCTCTCTCTTTCTCTCTCTCCCTCTCGTGGGCACGCACTCGCACGTGCAATAAATAAACAAAATTCAAAAATAAATGTAAAAAATAAAACCACCACGAGATACTATTATACATAATTACATGGGGTACAATTAAAGAGATTGACAAAACCCAGTGTTGGCGAGGATATGACGTAACTAGAACTGGTAAGAGGTAAACTGGAAAACCTCAGTATTCACTGTAACTGCTTCACCTGACCTATGATCCAGCCAGTCCCCTCTTTGGTACAAACCCAGGAGAACTGAGTGTAATTTCTACCAAAGTGCAAGTATAGAATGTTCTTGGCAACTTTATTCATAATAAATAAAAACTGGAAACCATCCAAATCTCCCAACACCAGGAAGCTGGATAAACCGTAGTATATGCATACATTGGGAAACCAGGTAGCAAAAACAGAATGAACTTCTGTACACCACAGAGATGAGTCTCCCAGACATAATGTTGGATGAACAATGCCGGCCACAGGGGCGCCTGGGTGGCTCAGTCAGTTGGGCGTCTGCCTTCGGCTCAGGTCATGATCCCGGGACCCTGGGATCGAGGTCCGCATCAAGCTTCTTGTTCAGTGGGGGATCTGCTTCTCCCTGTCCCTCTGTTGCTCCCCCGCTTGTGCCCCCACCCCACTCAGTCTCTCTGTCAAACAAATAAATAAAATCTCTTTAAAAATACACACAGGGATGCCTGGGTGGCCCAGTGGGTTAAGCATCTGCCTTCAGCTTGGGTCATAATCCCAGGGTCCTGGGATGGAGTCCCACATCCACTCCTTGCTCAGTGGGAAGACTGCTTCTTCTTCTGCCTGCCATTCCCCCTGCGTTGTGCTCTCTCTCTCTCTGGCAAATAAATAAATAAAATCTTTTAAAGAACTAAAAACACACACAAAAATTGTCTTAAACTATAAAAATAATTTATTTTCTCATATAGTTGGAAAATCCAGAAGGCTGGTTTCCTGTGGGGTTGGGTCCCAGGCCTTGTGGTTGTGTAAGGACTTGGTGTGATAGATACAGCTGGTTGCCTTCCTAATACTATTCCCCTTTCCTCCCAAAAGCAGCCCAGTTTTGTTTGGGGCAGTGCCTAGTTAAACAGACTGACTTCCTCAGTTCCCTTGAGAGTTCCTGGTGTCCCAGGGACACATTGTTACCCATGAGACTTACGGTAAGGACTTCTGGGAAAGTTTTGCTTTCCTGGCACAAGTGTCTCCCTTTGCGGCTTCTTTTCCTTTCAACTTGACCAACTCATGACCATGGAGGCAACGATTATGAGAATGGATGAAGCTACCAAGGGTGGCAGGCAAGAAAAGACTTCCTGGCTGCATAAACCAGCTGCACCAACCGTGGTCGGCCTGCCCATCTCCTGATATTTTATCGTGTGAGACAAGCAGGAAATAAATATTTATCCAAGCTACTCTTAAGTTTTCTCTTACTTGCAGCCAAACACATGCTCAACTGAGAAAATCTTCAATTTCTTTATAACTCTTTTTTTTTTAAGATTTTATTTATTCATTTGAGAGAGAGAGAGAGAGCATGAGCAGGGCAGGGGTTGGGCAGAGGGAGAAGACCTAAGCTGGATCATGACCTGAGCCAAAGGCAGATGCTTAACTGACTAAACCACCCAGACGCCCCATAACTCTTGTCCGTGTCTTTTGTAGTAAATGCTTCCTTCTAAGGTTTGTTTCCCTTGTGGACCCAGATTGACTTCCAGGAGTCTCTGAGGCCTCTTACTTCCTCACTCATATCCTACAGGAGAGAGTCAGCTTTGTCCCACAATTTCCTGGTCCTGGTTCTGGAAATCCTGCTCGCATCCACACCTGAGGGTTATGGCTGAAGCACTCACGGTGGGTTCCTCTGATCTGTGTGAGCCCTGATGATCCTCCTTGGACTTTAGCTGAATCCTTACAAGCCCTGAGCTATCCTCAAGGTCAGCTTGCAACTCCCACAGCAGTTCTGACCTCCAATGGCCTTGCCTATGGAGTGGAGTGGGTCACATGGGCCAGCACCTTCTGTCAAAGTCAGGATCAAAAATCTCCCCTCAGGAGCCAAGTCTGGCTTTTGGTTAGGTCAGGTGTTGACTTTGGGCAAATTCCCAACTTAGAAAAAAATGACTTTTTTTTTAAAGATTTTATTTTTATTTATTTATTTGACAGAGAGAGAGCACAAGCAGGGGGAACAGAGAGTGAGAAGCAGACTCTCTGCTGAACAGGGAGCCCAATGTGGGACTCGATCCCAGGACCCTGGGATGACCTGAGCCAAAGGCAGACGCTTAAGCATCTGAGCTACCCAGGCACCCCAGAAAATATGACTTTTGATGTGGAATCTTGTTCTTCCTCAACACACCCTTGAAAGTCACGTGCTCGGGTGTTTTGTTTGTAGGATCGCAGCTGGGTAGTATTCAAGGGGTTGAGAGAGGTTTAAACTGCAGAGGTGTCTGAGTTTTGTTGTAATCTTGTCTGAGGTCACATAGCTTATTAAGTGGTGGAGCCCAGAGGAGTCTGACATTCCAGTGACCCCCCAGCCATGATGCTAAGACACTATGGCACTTGGGGGTCAATATTGTTTTTAACGCAGATTCACTTTAATCACATTACAAGGGCACAGGAATGTTCTTCAGTTCCACAGAGAAATATGCCTTCTCCCATTTTCCCTGAAGCACAGGGCCCTTAGACCTCTCTTTTATTGTCATCTTTTTTTTCAAAGACACAGGTAGAGAAAAAAACAGCATTGGCAAGGTGAAGGAGCAACACTGAAAGTCACACTCGGACTCAGGTTTAGGTAAGTGTGGAGTGCGTGCTCAGTCAGGAAGGGGAAGTCATTGACCCTAAGCACAGATGCGAGCTCGATGTTGCCAGAGCATCAGATTTTCCAAGAAAAGCCAGAAAACTGAAATTTTTTAAAAGATTTTACTTTTAAGTATCCTTGACACCCAACATGGGCCTCAAACTTAAGAACCCTGAGATGAAGAGTTGCATGCTTCACCCACCGAGCCAGAGGGAGAAGCAGGCTCCCCACCAAGCAAAGAGCCCAACGAGGGACGTGATCCCTGGACCCTGAGATCATGACCTGAACCGAAGGCAGACACTTAACTGACTGAGCCACCCAGGTGTGCCCTGAATTTTTTTAATATGCTGTTTCATTGCTGGGCTCAAAAAGCTTTATATAGGTTGTCATGTTCCCAGTGCCACTGTAATGGGATAGAACTTCTGCCCTTGTTGTGGTTCTAGCCTGAAGTGCTTTGAGAACAGGGGCAATTTTCTTCTTCCCAGTCCTGGTAGGTTTCCTGAAAAAGGTTGTGTTTAGTGGAGCTCCTACGGGTGGAAGGAGCTTCCCAAAAGGAGGAGGATTGGGAGTGATTTCCATGCAGCTTTGCATAGTTGTTCACTGCAGGCATGCTAACAGGCCTGCAGTTTCCAGCCTTATGAGCCCTTGACCTCTACCTGACCCACACCCTCAGCTTCCTGGTTCCAGGCTCTGGGTACTCAACCCACTTCCGCTATCCAGTTTCTTCCTGAGAACTAAGGAACAGCGGAAGGAGTCCCTGGAGTCCTTCTGAGTCCTCCCAGCCAACCTAGGCTAGGGCTAGCTCCCCGGGGTTGGTAGAGGGAACCCCCAGCTTTTGGGGCCTTCCCCTTGACCCTTGAAGGTGGGACAGCAAAGAGAAGAGAGAAGGGCCTGAGTACTTCCTAGCGGGTAGAGAATCCTCCCCAGGCTCTCTCTACTTTTCAGAAAGGGTCAGCCAAGCAGAGTGGCTGTCTGGGTGCCACACTTGAGTGGATTGGGCATGGGAGACAGCACCTTCTGTCTTCTCAATTGTGTTATTGTCCAATTTCAACATCACAAATAGGGTAGAACCCCATATTTTGGACCTCCTGATGTGACGCAGTGATCATCAATGTTATATTCTTGCCAAAAATGTTTGTGGTGAATCTAATCTTGAGGAAACAATCCGATAAATCCAGAATATGATGCTATAAAACCAGCCTGAACTCTTAAAAAAAAATAAGAAGGCTGAGTGTGGGGTAGATAATATTCTTCTATATTAATAGAGATCAAAAAGACCTAACAACCAAAGGCAGTATGTGAACCTTGCCTTCTGAACTAAAATAAACATGCTAAAAAGACGTCCTTGAGGAGTGCCTGGGTGGCTCAGTTGGTTAAGTGTCTGACTCCTGGTTTCAGCTCAGGTCATGATCTCAGGGTCATGGGATTGAGCCCTGCTTCAGGCTCCTTGCTGGGCACCAACGCTGTCTCTCTCCCTCTGCTCTTCCCCTCACTCTCTCTGTCTCCCTCTCCATCTACCTCTAAGGTAAATTAAAAAAAAAAAAAAAAAAGGCATCCTTGGGGCGCCTGGTGGCTCAGTCGGTTAAGCATCTGCCCTCAGCTCGGGTCATGATCCCAAAGTTTTGGGATCGAGCCCCATGTTGGGCTCCCAGCTCAGCGGGGGAATCTGCTTCTCCCTTACCCTCTGCCGCTCCCCCTGCTCGTCCTCTGTCTTTCTCTCAAATAAATAAATAAAATCTTAAAAAAAAAAAAAAAGGCATCCTTCAGACCAGTGGGAATGACAGCACTCAATTACTGTTGATATGCTCAGATGTGATAATGGCACTGTAATTGTGTGGAGCCCTGACATTTAGGGCCAGTTAATACTCTGGAGAGATCAGTAGCACTTCTGGTCCCTGCCCACTAGGTGGCCGGAGCACAGCACCCTGTCCCTTGCAACGAGCCAAAATGTCTGAGAAACTGTTTTGGATTTTGGTAGTATTGACAGTTGCATCACATCATGAATATGTGAAAACACACTGGACTGTCCGTTTGAAAATGGTTAAAATGGTGAATTTTATGTGATGTGAATTTTTTTTCAATAAAGACTAATTAAAAATGCCTCCATTTGGCATTGTCACATTATCCCCTGAGGGACAAAAATCGCCCCCCCTGCTGAGAACCATTGGTGTGGAGAGCACATCACTTGGGGTGTGTGGGGGGGTGCGGAATGCAGGCTGAAGGTTTTAAGAGGGAAATGTCTTTTTTGTAACTTTCAAAGAGCAAATGTGTCAAAATATTAACCATTGGTGAAACTTGGTGACAGGTGTCTGGGTTGTTCATTTTACTATTCTGTCGACTTTCTATAAATTTAAAATTGTTCAAAACCAAAAGAAAATACAGTTTCAAAATTTCTGTTTACAACATCCCCAGGGGCCCAGCTAGGTGCCAGCTGTGCGGCCTCCTTTCAGACGGACTGAGAACTGTCTACATGAGTTGAGTGGCTCAGTCCTCATTCCTTCAAGGGAAGACTCCTTCCGTATCTCTCCTCCCCCTTCCTCTCTGTCTCTATATCTTGTCTTTCTCTTCTCTCCTGCCCTATCCCACTCCAAGGCTGCCTTGAACATGCTGGCCCTGTGGCACCCACCGACCTGTGGAGATAAAAGCATCCCATCCTACGGACCACCACCCACCCAGACAGAGTGAAGATGGGCTCTGTTGAGCCTTTTGTGGTGAGTATTCTCCCCTGTGGTGACTTTAAAACATGATCACAAAACTCTAGTACTGGTTCCATGCAGAGGCAGGGTCTCTGTCCCATCTCCTTAAATAGGAACTGTAGCTGCGTAAGCAATAGGGTAGAATGGAAATGATATGGTACCAGTCTCCAGGCCCAGACCTTAAAAGCCTAGCATCTGCTGTTTCCTGTCTCTTCGGAGATACCTGCTCTTGGAACCGAGCCACCATACTGTGAGGAAGTCCAAGCCACCCTGTGGAGAGGCGGGTATGGAGAGAAGCAGCATACAGTGACTCGAAGCCGGCGAGTGAGTCATCTTGGAAGTGGCTCTTCCAGCCCCAGCTGACACCACGTGGGGCAGAGGTGAGCTGTCCCTGATTGCTGCCGTCTTAAGTCACTAATTTTTGGAGTGGTTTGTTTGAAGAGATAGATAATGGAGGCATCCCTTGTCCCCCCACCAAACTGGGAGCCACCGGCTTAGGAGGCGGGAAGCGGGCCAGCTCTTTGTCCCTGGAGCTGGGACCTAGGTCAGCATTGTTCGTTCAACACGTATCTGTTGCATGACCACCAAGTGCTAGACACTGTTCCAAGGGCCGAGGAGTTACTACCGAATGAGACAGACCCCAAGAAAGGGTGGTGGGGAGAACCGTCTTCCTGTGGGAGGTTATTTCTAAGCTGAGACCCGTCTAAGGAAGAGGAGTTAGCCACGCACAGAAGCAGAGAAAGGCCAGATGCACCACCGTGTGCTAGTTTTGGATGAGGTTAACAGATTTGGCAAATAAAAAATAAAAATTTGACACCCAGTTAAACTTGAATTTTAGATGAGTAATGAATATTTTCTTTGTGTGTATACATATGCCCCATGCAGCTTTGGAGACATGCTCATATTAAAAAGTCATTTGTGGGACACCTGGGTGGCTCAGTCAGTTAAGCGTCTGCCTTCGGCTCTGGTCATGATCCTGGGGTCCTGGGATCGCGTCCCACATCAGGCTCCCTGCTCAGCGGGCAGCCTGCTTCGCCCTCTTCCTGCTGCTCCCCTGCTTGCGCTTGCTCCCTCTCTCTCTGGCAAATAAAATCTTTTCTAAAAAAGTTACTCATTACTTATCTGAAATTCAAGTTAACTGGGAGTCCTGCATTTTATCTGACCCCTAGTTCTAAGGCAGAAAAGAGAGAAAAACTCATGTTTCAAGAGACAATTCGGAAAGCTGGTGGTAAGACAGTGGCAAACAGGGTGTGACATCAGAAGTAAAGGTCACAAAAGGCCAGCTGGCCAGGTCCATTTTGAATTTTGTCCTGAAGCAATGAGGGGCCACAAGAGGGTTCAGACCCAGGGAGTGACACAATCAGATGTGTGTGTCGCAACAGTACTCTGGGCTACCGTCTGGAAGGGATGGGAGAGTCTGTAGGCAGGGAGATCAGGAGGAGGAGGCCTTTACCCTGCAAGGTTCATACTCTGGTAACCACAAAGGCTTGAGAAGGTCGAACTAACCCCCCACTTCACACTTTTCTTTTCTATAACGTAAGTGTTTTAAACTCTAAGTTTCCCTTTAACTACTGCTTCAGTGTATCCCACAAGCTTTTGATATATTTAGTTTTATCACTCCATTCAGGATGTTTTTTTTTTTTTTTAAGATTTTATTTATTTATTTGACAGACATAGATCACAAGTAGACGGAGAGGCAGATAGAGAGAGAGAGAGGAGGAAGCAGGCTCCCTGCTGAGCAGAGAGCCCGATGTGGGACTCGATCCCAGGACCCTGAGATCATGACCTGAGCCGAAGGCAGCGGCTTAACCCACTGAGCCACCCAGGCGCCCTCAGGATGTTTTCTAACCTCTCAATTCTTTAGCTGTGTGTTGTATAATTTCCAAATATCTGAGATTTTTCTGTGTATCTCTTGGCTATTTCTTTTAATTGCCTTCTGTGATAGTCAGAGAACATACTCTGTACGTTCTTTAAATTTTATTAGTATCGTTTGGTGAGCAGGCACATAGTCTCTCGTGGTGAAGGTGCCACACCTGCTAGAAAAGAATGTGGGGTGCCCCTGCTGTTGGATTACGTGTTCTATCAATGTCAGCCACGGGCAGTGTCATCGACAGCGTTCTTCTTGCATTTTCTTCTATGCATTTTCTCAGTACGCAGTCTAGCTATTCTCTCCATCGATGGAAGTGGGGTGGGAAAATATTGGGCAATTATTATAGATGAGTCAAGTTTTTCCCTTTCCTGTCAGTTTTTTCCTCAACTCTTTTGAAGGTCTCTTGCTAGATCTGTATACATCTATGATTATGATTATGACTTCCCAGGGCACGGTCCTTTTATCCAGATGGATTTCCCTCCTTAGCTTGGGTCACAGCCATTCGCTGGAAGTTCAGTTTTCTGTGATTGCTCTGGCGTGTGCAGCTTTCCAGCCCTCTCTGGTAGCTTGCTATATCTTTATCCAGCTGTTTGCTCTCTTATTTATCCCAGACCAAGCCTGGCCAGGCCCAAATAGTACAAGTCGTCTGCATAAACAGGCTCAAGCCTCAGCATCCCCTAATGCTGTCATTCTGATGGCGGTCACTCAGCTCCCACCCATGCGTTACGTGCAGTCCCCAGCAAGTGGCTAACGGGGAGGGACAAAGCTCAGGCTCTGCTGAAGGATGCTTTGTGTTGGTGTGAAAGAGACACACTGAAATTGAATTGCTCTCACACTACAGTCCCAGCCTTGGGGGGACGTCTTCCCACTGGACAGAAGTTTGAGCAGTGCACGTGGTCATTCGGAGGTGAGAGCAGGGGGCTCTGCTTCACAGGCCTGAGAGCTGTGTCCTCACATGGAGCCCTGTGCTCAACAGGGCCCAACATGTGTGTCTTGCTGTCATCGTTTTTTGTTTTTTTGGTTTTTTTTAAGATTTTTCTTCTTGGGGCGCCTTGGTGGCTCAGTGGGCTAAGCCTCTGCTCTTTGGCTCAGGTCATGATCTCATGACCTCTGCCTAGTTGTGATCTCTCTCCCTCTGTCAAATAAATAAAATCTTTTTAAAAAATTAAAAATAAATAAAAAGATTTTTATTCTTTATTTATTTGACAGAGACCACAAGTAGGCAGAGAGGCAGGCAGAGAGAGAGGAGGAAGCAGGCTCCCTGCTGAGCAGAGAGCCCGATGTGGGGCTCGATCCCAGGACCCTGAGATCATGACCCGAGTTGAAGGCAGAGGCTTTAACCCACTGAGCCACCCAGGTGCCCCGCTGTCATAGTTTTGAACAAGATGCATTTTTATTTTACCCTGAAACCCACAGAATAGGTCCTGAGCAAAAGGTTCCAAGGCCATTACAGAACAGAGAACCCACAGAACATCAGACTGCCTTGACTTGGGTATGCTATGCTACCTGTGTGTGTGTGTGCGTGTGTGACATGTGTGCATGTGTGTGGTACATGCTAAGTATTCAAAACTGATGGCTGTTGTTCCCATGTGTTATTGATGCTGGTGGTGGTGTTACTGGGCTCCTCCAGAATTGTTCTTCAAACTTCAGGGAAGTCTGGTTAATTCACTACCTACAAGCCATCCTTCTGCTTTGTTTCACGGACTCATCTGCAAAGTGTTTTTTAATTTAAGCAAGCGGCTTTGACAACCCTCAGGTTGTCACACACAAATACACACCTTACCTTTCAAACACCCGCTGCTGTTGCACGCCTATATCCAGATGCTACCCCCATTCATCCAGTTGCATCAACAGTCCCTAAAATCCCACCTCCCCAAGCCCAGCTGCCCCAGATTCTCTCAGAGTTGACATGGACATGCACGCTCACACCCTCAGCTCATCTGACCGCGTGGGCGCCATCGGCACGGTTCCCCTCCTGCTCCGTGTGCAAAACCTCCTGCCGTGGACAGCCGATGTGAAGGCTGCTTTCATGTGGGCAGCAGCCTCTATAATTTGCATTTGAAATTTTTTAAAAGTATTGCAAATCAGAAAGTATGTGCATGTGTGATTTCTGGGGACTAGGAAGGGTGAGAAGGCTTGGCATCTCGAAAGCGCGTTAGCTGTATTCTAGATTTCCAGGGAAAGCCAGAGGTTGTCATTATGCGGAAGCTTAGCAAGGAAACAGAGGTGATTTGGGGGGTGTTGGAAGCTCTGCAAACACTCTGGTGTGAGCCCCTGAAATTCAGGGCCCTGATTTAATAAGGGCTGCCAGTGTCAGGGGGAAAAAATAGCAATTCTGCCGCTTCACGTGGTACAACAAATCTGGCCTTCTACATAGGAAAAGCCAGGACTGAGAGGGGGTGGGGTGAAAGACGATGTCACCAGCTCCTCTCACGTTTCCTGCAAGAAATCCCTGCGGAGAAGAGACTTCTGGCTCAGTGAGTCACTGGCTATATAAGCCAAGAGAGGTGGAAAGCAGATTCCAGGAAATAAGCAAGAGGGATCTTGGGGAAGTTTTCAGCTTTAGTGTGAAACTGTCAAGCCTCTCTGCTCCTGGGGGAACTGGAGGGAAAAACAAGAGCGAGAGTGATGACAGAAACAGCAAGGAACCAGACAGAGCTCATGTGTGAGAGCCTGTGCCTCTGGGCACTTGGAATAACCACGGATGAGCAAATGATGCAGGTGGCTTCAGAGAGGGAGAAAACACCCCAGTGTTCCGGGGCCTGCGGTCTTTCCTAACGCAACAGATTATTTACAGAACATCCATCCAGTTCCTGTGCTGGGCGCTGGGCGCTGGGCATGGAGAAGTGAGCGCTTTCGGCCCCTTAGCAAGTAATCGCATGCACTTATGCCAAGTGACAACTAAGAAGCCTCAGGGGCCTGAGGCCACTGTGGAGATCCTGAAAGGCTGCTGCTGCCTTTTTTTTTTTTTTTTTTAAAGATTTTATTTATTTATTTGACAGAGAGACAGCAAGCACAAGTAGGCAGAGCAGCAGGCAGAAGGAAAGGGAAAAGCAAGATCTCCACCAAACAGGGAGCCCGATGGGAGGCTCGATCCCAGGATCCCTAGGATCATGACCTGAGCCAAAGGCAGACGCTTAACCGGCTGAGCCACCCAGGCGCCCCTCCTAGAAGGGTTCTTGGCACCTCAGGTAGGTTTGTCCAGACACCAAAAAGGACAGGCTGAATTGCCATGGGGGCCTGGGATAGAGAGAGCAGGGCTGTTTGGAAGAAGTGAAAGATTGGTTTTGGGAGCAGAGCCACAAGAAAAGACTGGACAGATCCCTTCTCTTTGTCCATTTTGGGTAATCTGTTTGCTTACAAAGTTTGGGGTGGGGTTGCATCTCCTAAGAGCCAGGCAACCTATTTGGCACTTTCTGTTTATTTACAGGGTAATTCAATTCACCAGTGTTTACTGAGCTCCCTGACCAAATAGTTGGGCCCAGGCATGGAGTAGGCAGAGGGC